TTTTGCTGCCTTTTCTAAAGCATTTAATGAAATGCAACTGGTTTTCTATTATCATATCAAGAGGCAGGAATGAAGTGACACAATGTAAAGTCCTGACATCTGTCCATCACCTTCCTGTCACAGCTTCTTTTTGCTTTTGCCCTGTTCCCTTTGTACCAGCTCACCCCATTCCCAAAAAAGATCACTGCCTGCATAAAAGTAAGTTTCTGGAAACTTGCAGTCCAGCTAAGTGGTACAGAATGATGTTTTTGAATGCATCTAAAAATAACCAGAGCTGCAGTCACCCACACCTACACATATATGGTTCATCACCGCTACTCCTTATGTAAGCTGAAATTTTGGCAGAGGTAGTTCTTAAGGAATACACTGGGCCATATCCTGAGCTTGATTAAAACACTAAACAAACAAAATATCTTGGGTAATTAGTAATTCAGTAGTTTTTCATCACCAGCATCACATTGAAACTTAATCCTTCATATACAGTCAGCTTAAAATATCCCTAGAGTTGCTTTTGAAATCCAAGGTTTTTTTTGCCGTAGAAAAAGCAAAAAAAGCACAGGTAAAAAAAAAAAAAAGGCTTGTTTCAAGAAATAGGTTTTTTGGGTTTTTTTCCTGCAAATAAGTCCTACAGCAGTTTTTGGGGTTTTTTAAATAGACCAATGATGCCCCAAGCTATTAAAAAGACATGTATATTAAAAAAAAAAAAATAAAGCACAATTAGATCCAAGAAATATAATCAAACTTAACTTCCACATAATTATTCCAGCTGGAATAATCCACTGCTCATTTCACAGAAATGAAGTCACTGAAGCACACAACATCCTTGAATGGTCATTTCCAGAGAGGTGCCTTGTGTGATGGATATTCTAGTGGTACTGTGTCTCAGAATCAAGTAGAGATGCACACACTTCAGCTATAAATAGTCCCTTTTCCTTTTCCCCTTTGCACCCCAAAAAAGACTATCAGACAGCCAAGACCCCACAGTCCTACTCCAGACATGTTGGGCTGCCAGTGATGCCTCAGAATGTGGTGCTGCTCAGAATAATAGAGCCACTCCATCTCATGACCAAAACCTGCTACTCCCAATGAAGTTCTAGATAAAGATCAAAGTATTAATCATGAGATCCCATCAAAACAAGCCTGTGGCAGCACTGAATTCCAGTGGAGTTACTCACGTTGCTCCAAATCCCATATTGCAGTACTGGCTCAGTAACATTAAAGTAACTTATCACCACTCAGCAATCTTTCAACAACATATTGCAGCCCATTTTCAAACACATTTTAGTACAGTTGAAGTGCAGTGTTGGAGTCATCCCCTCACCCCAAGTTTTGTGTGTACTAGGCAAAAAGAGGAGGATCTTTCCCTTCAGATGCTTGCTAGCAACACTCAGAGTAGCGTGTGATCACATACCACATGGAGGGCTGCTGCTGGGCAGCTCCCTTAGTTAGAGGAGGCTACACCCCATCTGATAAAAGAATCATCTGTATTACTGCTAACAGCCATCAGCAGTGAAACAGCAAACCATAAGTAATCTGAAATAACAGCTGCATGATAAACAGTCTACTCAGGATGCCAACAGATACAAATCCATATTGTGCGCAGCATCACATGAATCAGAGAGCTTTTTTTTTTTAAGCCTCAACAAAGGCATTTAAAAAGATCTACTTTGCATCTCAGAAACAAACTTTCATCCAACTTTTTCAAGTTTTCACGTACTTATCCATACTAAACCCAGGTTTATGCCTGCAGACGCTGCACTGCAATTGCAAGTGGGAAGACAGCATTAGCACAGTACAAAAGTAAAATAAAGTGGCAGAAATCAGCAGACATGAGTACACAAGCACAGCACTGGCTTCAGGTTTTGTTTGATGGTAACCAGGGTTTTTTGTTTGCCTCCTCTTTACAGATAGAGCAGAAAAAAAATATAAATCTCTGAAGAAAAATTTAAAGATAAATTATCTGTTTGAAAGAGCTTCATGCAGCAAGTGTGTTACAAGCAGCCAACAGTGATTAGGAAGGGCATGGGTTTGTCTGGGTCAAGTTTAATCACCATCTGGGGCAGCTGATGTGACTCATTCAATTTATGTAAAAGACACCCTTATTAGCTCCTCTGCAATCACTGCACCTCAAATTAATACAAGAATGAAATTCTTCTTACTAAATCAGTCTATTGGCTCTTTCACTTCAGTTATGTTAATGTTTGGAAACATCAGTTTCATTTTCCCACCCAGATACTCACTTCACTTTAGTGCAAATTATTCACTGCCACATACCAAAGTGAGAGAACCAGCTCTTGCTGAGCTCTTGCTCTCCTGGGACCACCATATAAAAACCATGGCTCCACTGTGCATTGGGTAATCTAGAACTTGTAATTACTGTCACTACAAATTCAAATACAGCTATCCACATAAAATGTGAAATAGATCCAATGCCTGAATTACAGAATGCCCTTAAACTTGTCCATACCATTTTCCTAAAAAATGCATAGAATTCAAAATACTGTACTTTTCTTCTTATATAAATCAAAATTAAAATATGCAAAGTCTCTGCCATTCAAGTACTTGGCTTCCATCTACATTTGACATTAAAGCAGTCTTAAAGGGTTCATATGGCTCTCTGTGAAAACCAAATGGCACACAGCCAAACCACAACATGCTGCAAAAGTAGGCCAATCATCTGCATAGGACCTGCTGTCATTGAAATTGATGATAAAGTGCTGTGGAATATTTTACTTGATTCCAGTTGGAAATGCAGAGCAACACTGCAGTCACTGCACAGTAAAATGGGATTTCATGCTGTAGGCAAAAAGCTGTTTCGGACTGGATTTGCTTTGTTTTTGTTTTTTAGGCTAGAAATATCCCACTATAAAGAATCTTATTTCTAAAAGCTTGATCCTAACTCCCAAATCAATGTATCTCATGCATGCAAGTAAAATACAACATTTTCACAAGTAGTATCAGAATACAAGGAAATTATTTCTGTAATCATTGTTGTGTGGAATGGTTTCTTTAAAGAGGCTTTTCTGCTCTTTCAGCAATTGCACCTTATGGAAATAGTAATGTGAAGCTTAATTTCCCTTTTTAATGTACACTAGTTGTTATTTTAAAATTCTCAATGAATTTTAGCTTGTAAATACATTTTTTTAAAACTATGAATGGCCAAACAGAGATGAGTCATTTCCAGTTCCCTCACTTTAAGCTTTTCTGCATGAACTGAAAGATATAATTGTCCTCTGCTCGTAAAGACAGCTGGTATGTACATGCAAATGAGGGTCACTGTAATTTCCATAAGAGATAGAACTACTGTTGCATTGGACACTGGTCCCTTCACAATAACAGTCTAAAGCATTGGTGGGAAAAAAAACCCAAACCTAAACAAAAATTATTTTATAGTAAATCAACACCTTGTGAGGAAATGTGAAAAAGTCTATTTCCCAGAAAACAGATATCTAAAAAGAAGTACCATGTTCTTGAAGTTTGCCATATACAACTTATTTCCATCATATCACCACCATAAAGTCTAATTACAGATGTAGCAATTAAAAATTTTCTGAGTTTATAAGCTGTCAACTGTTGATAGATAAAAAAAAAACAGTGTGCTTTTTATATGCTATTAAAGTAGTGAACACCTCAAACTGGAAAAGTTTAGGTAGCATGTCTAAAGTTAAGTTCTAAAGTTAAGAAACAGGTGAAAGGGATTTAAAACAAATAAAAAAAAAAAAAGATTCAGCTAACTTCACAGTGAGCTACTCTCAGAGGGGCTGGCTTTTTCTGTGTTAAAAATTTTGAATTCCAATTTTCTGCACCGAAATTGGAGATTTTAGTTCAAGGCTACTAAAGAATGAAAGCATCATTATTTGAATCTAGAAAATAGTTTTAGTTATTTACTTCCTAAATCATACTTTTTTGTTTGCTTTTCATGAAACCACAAAAAAACCCCTCACTCCATTTTTTGCAAAGACCTTGTGCTCATGTATGGTTCATGCTCTCATGCATCCAGAACTAACTTCATTAAAATAAAAATCTGATTTTATCTAATAGCAGGTACTCTTAGGGTATATTCTCTTAGTTCTGCAGGTTCCTCAAGTGAAAAATCTATGGAATATGCTGCTGAGTTTTCTCTGTATACATTCTTCCTATGTGGAAGAACTGGTCCTAATTATGAATATGTTACCTTTAGAAAGAAACTTCAGGTGAGGGAAAGAGAAAGGGAAAAAAACCCCTCAGAGTGAAGGAAAATTTAAGCATCTACTCACACTATTTCATTTGTGAGCTTTCTATTCCCATGTCTTTGGGACAGGATGCAAGCTGCCTAACAGGCAAGGTAAAGGTTTACTAAATGAGTCACCTTATGTAGCCTGAGCAGCAGCCTGTCACAGCTACCAAATTGTACAACCCCCAGTTTCCCTTCTCCTCCCCTGTTTTTGCTGCCTTTCAATACATTCACTTTTTTTTCTTCTCCTCCTTCCCTCTTCTGAAGAGGAAATTGGTTCCTTTCTGAAGTGCTGTCCATCTGTGCATGGCATGGCTTTTTCCTTTTGGTACTAAGCAAATCCTCCTCATTGCCTCAGTCTAACACCAGGTGCAGCTCTCATGTGTTTATAGTACACTACAACTGCACCTAGCACAAGAAAACCCCAAACAGGATCCTGGTGACAGAAAGCTTTGCATTTGAAAGATCTATTTATGCAGAGAGCTGATCTGCCTACAACAGTGCAGCTTTTCACATTTTTCAACAAGAATAATTTAAGGCATTCATCCTTTTCCTACAGGATGTAGACAAAGGAGACAAGTAGAAAGAAAAACCTCAAAGAGTTATGCACTTCCTTTACTGGCAGTACTGCCATACTGATGAAATGTGACTGTGTTTGTAAGATCAGGCCTTGGATTGCAAGGCCAAGGTACTGCATGCAATGAATTAAAGCATTTTAAAAATATTTTCAAAGCTGTTGTGGGAAGAGAAAAAAAAACCAAAACAACTCTTAATACACATCACTCACCTGAAAAGACATTGGGAAATGTCTCTGTAGAAGCCTGGACCCCTGAGGACTTTCTTGAATGAGTCAAAGGCACTCTTTCCGTTTGAATTTTCTCTCTAAACCCCTTGTGCTCCAAATAGTCTGCAGAGCTCACCTTCTCTGTTATCTCACTTTTGTGATTGGACACCTCTTCTGTCCAGTCTGCAGAGCGACTGAACAAACCTGCCAGACTAGCAGACCTCTTCTTCCTGACTGAGACTTTTTCCTTTTTGTGGAAGGACTCCTGCCTCCTTGTGAAGAGTGGGCTCTGGGATGGGGAGGGAGAAGGTGAATGGTTGGGAGAACTCAGTTGCCTAGTTGTGGTTTTGATGTAACAGGGATTAATTAGATAGGGCTTAAAACATCGGGAACCAAGCATCGGACTGTCCGCTGTTCCTTCAGAGGACAAACTGCCATTTTTCATTTCCGTGGATAAACCATTACACAGCTCCTCTTGACTGGCTGACAGAGTGTGTTTCCCTTCCTGAGTCTCAGCAGCATGATCATGGCCTGCATCTGAAATTCCACTCTCTGTTACTGAGCCCTGAAAATCAACAGCCTGCACTTCAGCAATTTTAGCCTCTGCATCTGCCACTGGAGATGGAAAAGGTTCTGTGGAGCTGCGTGTCTGAGCCCCATTTTCTACTGCAGTTCTATCCAAACCATCTTGTAGTTCACTGGCTACAGCATCCACTCCAGCAACGGGCTGCTCCTCAGTCAGTGGCTGACGTTCCTGTGTTTCAAATAAGCTGTTACCAGGAGAGCCTGTGCCATTCACCACTTCCTTCAGTTCACGTTCAGCTGCACAGGAGACGGGAACGCTTTCTACAATTTCCGATGCTGCTGGAAAAGCCCCCTCAGTGTCTGGGCTCCTTTCTTTGTCAGTGGTAGTTACTGAAAAAAACCGTTCAAAATCTAAGGGGGTTGCTTGAGAATTAGCCATGTGTCGGCCCATTGTTTTGGAGACAGAGTCCTCAGTTCCAATGTTAATTGCCCCCTGCTGCTGCTGCTGCTGCAGTCTAATAGCTTGCTGGATATCAGAAAGCAAATCCTCTTGTTCTGCGGCTGAATGGAAACTGTATATATCCGTATCAGAGCCAGAGCTGGTCCTTTGTCCATCCTGTGTCTCTGCAGCAGCTGGAACAGTTTCATTTCTGATTTCAAAATGTTCAACATCTGTGTCTGAGAGACCCCCTTCATCTGCAGAGATGCTTATATCGGGAGTTTTGGTTACAATTGAATGAGTACTGTCCAGCTCCCCAGGCTGCAAGGCCTGGCTTTCCAAAACATCCTCCCGTGAGCTGCTATTTCCATCTTTAGCCTTGGACAGATTTTTTCTGATCCTCAGATTTGAAAACACAGAGGGCCTGGAGTCCGACTTACCCTTCTTCTTCCCCGATTCGCTTCCCTTTGCATGCTTCCCCAGTCCCCTTCTGCCCCCCGATACCTTCTTTGTGCCGTCCGTATCCTTGGGCCCAGAGGCATCCTCTCCTCCTTCTTGCACATCACCTGCATTTTTCTTTAGCTTCCCATCTTGATTCCCCATGATTTTTCGCAGTGCAACACCTTTGGCAATCAAGCCATCCTCCCGGGTTTCATTCCTTTGGCCTGCTGGCGAGATCCCCTCTAGCGATCCAGGTTTGTTTGCAGGCGGCGGTGATGCAAGTGAGGCAAATGCTTGCTGTGCCTCTCTCCCATCTGCTGGAGCTGCCTTTTTGCATAATGTGCTGCTTGCACTGGGCTCCGCTGGGACATGCTCAGTACAGCACTGAGAGCTGCAGACAGCTCCTTCCAATGGCTGCTGCTCTTGGAGCTGCCTGCTCGCCGGGTTTCTGCTGCACTCTTGTTGCTTTAGGAAGGATTCTGTGAAAAGTGTTTCCTTTATAAAAGTCACTTCTTTTTCCACGGTTTTTATTGCCTGCATTGCAAGCTCGGCTTGTCACCAAATCATTTATGATTCCAGTACTTCAAGCTCCTGAAGGGAAAAAGGAGAAAAAATAAGTTAAAGCAAGGTACTTTAATTACTCTGCAACTGCTCAAAAAAATACAACAAACTTGGAAAGAGAAATATTATGATTATTTAATGGTTTATAAGGTGCTTAAGCATATGCTGCTTTGACAGATTACACAATACCTCTGGTGATTTATATGCTTGCTATTTAAAGGCCACCAAAACAATAGAGAATTTTAAAAGAGTCATTCTCCTTTAAAGGAGCTAAAATAAAGATAATAAACAGAAAGTTCTTTCTACAGTTTTAAAGAGTTGCACTCAAAATTCAATGCATTGTGGTAATTATGCTATAAAAAGCCTCACACAATTTGTATTCTGAGAAGGTAGATATACTGTTATTCCCAGGAGAAATCAGCTCATCAATATTAAAATACATCACCATTGTTTTCCCTGATAAGAACATCTGGCATGAAACAAGATAAAACAAAAAAGAAAAATAGCAGTGTTCAAATGCTAGTAAGGAAAAAGATACAGTAAAGTACTCCTCTATTTCACCCAACACATTTAATAATTGATTTAGGTGGGAACACTTCTTAACTACTTTGGAAACTTGTTCAAAAGTTTTAATCAGTTGCTGTTTCTCCTTCATTTTTGCTTTTGATGTATAAGCTTCAATATTTCATAAATACATTTCCTGAACTTTTAGACAGGTATTTCCTTCCACTTTCAAAATTTAGAATTAATATAACTGGAATAGAAATCAAAGGATTTGAGAATGCAAAATTGCCAAGTTGGATCAGTTCATCTGTCCAATACCTTGGTTCAACACCAAACAGGTAGTAATTAGATTTTCTGTTTATTATTTGCCATCTCTAAACTGCCCAGTCTATTAGACTCAGTTTCTGTGAAAGACTTTATGTATTCCTCATGGCTATGAACCTTCCTCACTTGCAATTTCCCTTTCATCAGCTTAAACCAATAAATTCATTCCAGGGAAACGCATTCTACTGGTTTATCTAACTCTTCATGTAATTCCTACCAGAGATTTCACTTCTTTTCTCTGCCTTAATAGACATTAAAGAAGAAGGAGTACCATTCACATTTTAAAAACAATACAGGCACCCTCCCTCACACCCCTCTGCCCCCATGTACTCAAAGACATCCAGAATTTTTTTTCCCAAAGATTTCTAAATACCTTTACAAATCTAGGCTCTCATTATATAAACAACAAATAATTGCTTTTTATTTGTTTTGGAAACAATAACACTGGTAATAACACATGCAAATTAATTAATTTGGACTATCATCATTTCTTCCTTGTGCTTCTTGGTCACTTACTGCTCTGATGTAAGCCCTGTCCTGAGGGGTCTGTGGTTCAGGCATTAGAAGAAAACCTCTTGTCTACAAAAACTTGAGTGTTTTTTTTTCCTTATCTAAACAAGTCAAACATCTATTTTTTTTCTACTTTTAACACTTAACAACTATAAATATACTAACAAGAACTAGTACAGCAAAACCTGCAGAAGCATGTTACATGATTTTGCTTTTTTACTCCATTCCTGCTTTTGCTTTCTCTTATGCTACTTAGCTTCTACTTTGTGGCAGTATTTTACCTCTTACATAATTATTATGTATTCCCAAAAGGCTTTCAAAAGCACAAATAATTTCAGTCCAACTGAAGATACACAGTAAGAATTGAGGCGCAGTTTGAGAGAACCATTGCAGTAGAATAATACCTTGATGGGTATTTTAACTGACTAGAACTGACAAACTTAAGCCTTGATTACAACTGGAGTACTTGTATCTTCCAACCTCACTGAAAAACTCTTTTCCTGCTAAAATCTGCCAGAAATTAACATAATGCAGGAGTAATATAAAGCTACAATGGACCAAATGTGTAAGGGAACTGTAGAATTAGTGTAATGTTCTGAAACATTCCCTTTCTTTCCTTCTCTGTAAACCTGCCTTGCAGATCCCAGACATTTCCATTACAACTAATGACAAATCACCAGAAGTGATTACTCTGCAAACTGTGTTGCACAACCAAGTCATCGACACAGCTAGGCTTATAAGAGAGTCAAATTAAAGACCAATCTTCATTTCTTAATTAGATACTAGCAGCTTATAATATGTTTAGTCATGTTAAGTACTTTATTTCCTAGAAGTTTTCATACAGCACATCCTGATGAGTCAGTTCTTATAAAAAAAAACCCCACATAATGTATAGTCACAGTTTTTTTCAAAATTTAAATATATTATAATTTAAAAATGTTACTATTTTGGGGTATGTTTATTTTCAGTCAGCTTTTAGCTTCTAGAGAAAAACATGTTATCAAAAGTCAGCAAGAAACCATTTTGGCATCACTATCAGCTGACATTTTAAAAGCTGACATGTATTTAATATTTTACACCAAAAAAAAGAGAGACTTTCAATGGACACTAAATGGAGAAAGGGATTTAGGTGTTCAAGAAAGATATTTCATTTTAAAGATAAATAATAACTCACTCTGAGTTACCACAACTTATTCTTAGCTTGCTATAAATTGTCAACAAACTGCTGAGGCTAGTCAGAGAACCTGCCTGCTCATTCAATATTTGCCAGTGCTCAACCAAAACCACTGGGTGGTGAGACTACAAGCACAGACCTGAGATCCTCTTCATGTCTCACTCTCCTCCTAAGCTCCAGAAATGCAAATAGCAACACACAGAGGAGAGTCAAAACTTACAACTTAAGACACGTTATCCATGCTCTCCCAGAGACCTCCACATTAACACATTCCTGTTAAAAACACAAAACCTTGTTACAGGACTGTGATTATTTTCGAGATAGTTACCATGCCCTGCAGCCTCACTGGAAAGGCGAGCAGCTCTCCCAGCAGTGCCTGCCCAGCCCTTGATCAGCTGGGAGGGGAAGGGCAGCCCTGATTGCCCACACCTGGGCTCAGGACTCAGCCTCCTGGAGCACAGCCAAGACAGAGTGCTGCCCTCCTCTCGGGTCTGCAGTTCTTCCTCCAATTCCTTACAAAAAGGCCGGGTGAGCAGTTGGCATCCTGTTAGTTCAGACCTATGGTGAATATGGGTTGTCTGGAGGAAAAGAGGGGTGCCTAGGGGAGCCTGCTCAGTGGAGACACAGCTTTCTTGGGGTGGATGAGTGTTCACCATGCTTTACTGACTATGGTGTTTCATTCTGCTCTCAACAGCAGCTGTTGAACAAGTTCCAGGAAAGTGTAGACAACACCCTGTTACTGCCTCAGGCTGTGCCTGCTGGAGTCCAAGCCTTCGGGCAGGGTTAGGCTTCACCTACAGGACCTCTGGAAAGGGTTTAATGCACAGGAGTAAGAACTTCTGTGCAGGACATTTGGTGACTGAACAAAGAGGCCTAATAACTTTTTCTACTGGTCCTACATGAATAATTTTGAAGAACTTGTCAAGACCTACCAGGAGTATCAAGAAGAGTGCCAGGCTAAACAAAACAGATTTTCCTCGATCCATAAGCAAGTATAGGTCTCAGCTTGCTAGTGAAAAACATGACAGAGATCATAACATAGCTGAATAGGCCAAGGAGTCTCAACAGCAATGAAATGTGGCAGCCACCTGAGCAAAACTGAGTATTCAATGTCTCTACAGTGAAAAAATTATTTCAAAGAAATAATTTAAAGGCACAAAGGACCCAAGAAGAATCCCAGCAGTGATGCTGCACCAGCACCACTACAGCAAAGATGTGGAGGGCAAAGAATGACCTGTGGCATGTGCCCCCATAGCACCCTGCAGAGTGACTGAGGGACAGGCTCTGTACTTGCAGCCAGCCCTTCCAGGAGCCCACAGTGGCTGGTCAGGCTACACACACATGTGTACGTGGGCTCTGTGCCCTGTCACTTCCCTGCTGGGACACTCAGGGGGAAAATGAGGCTGCTGCAGCCCAGGGCAGGTGCTCTCCTGGGTGAGACACAACATGGCAGGCCAGGGTAGAGGCTGACTAGAGGGGGCTGAATCTCAATCTCCAAGGACTCAGCCTCCACACAGAGCTGGGCTGAGGCTGGGGCAGCAGCAGTGTGAGAGCCTCAGCACTGTACTGCAGGCCCTGGGAGCTGGGCTCTGCTCCCCCAGCACTCTCTGCTCTCCAGCCTCTTCTCACACTGCTCCCAGAGAAGACATGGCTGCAGGGGATCCTCACATATGCCACACACACCCTGCAGAGATTAATTTTAGTGAGTGGCTCAATGTGCGTGGGTTTGGTTTGGAGATAAAGGCACATAGAGTAACAGGAGGGTTTTAAACTACTCTGGTGTCACATTACTGACTGGGATATGGTAATGCAGAGTGTATGAAAAAGGTTTGTTTAAGTAGATGAAAATATTCCACCCATCTATGTTACTAAAGCTTGAATTCTCATACTCATTTTCATTCAGCTCAGTGCTGGAACCTGGTCCCTGTTCCTGCCGTCCTGTGGCGGAAAAAAACCTTCCCCGGCTGCTGTTTTGAGCGTGATGCAAAATTTATCTTCCCAGAAGGCATCAACTACCATAAAATATTCCCCTACATTACCAAAGTCAGGCTTCAAGCAGTTGAAAACTTTTTTTCTGCCCCTACACTCCCATCTCTTTCAGCTATAGGGAGAATTGCCTTTTAAAACTTCACAAGGTGTGAATGGCAAGGGACAAGTCAGGAGATCAGAAAAGAGACCATAGTGGCTGGGATTAAAGCCAATCCTGCCCTTGCTTCACTTAGCTT